ACACTATTATGTTTTGTTGAAAAACGCATATTTTTCTCTCTGTTTTGGCCTTCCGTCCACACTGAGATGGCGTTTTTGTCAAGGAAAACTGAAATTTTTGAAAACACTCTCCAAAGTGGATAAATTTGAAAACGCCGTTTTCGCATTTAGTGTGGACTGTGAAAACGAAGGCTTTTGAAAACAGTGATGCATGTTTAGTCATGTGATGCATGTTGTACTAATAGACATCTTATGCCAGTAATTGTGCCGGTTATGTGCTATTCACTTTCACAATGTTGCTACAAATATTTACTTTGTACACTCTTTACAGTCCTAAAAAGATGACAGAAAATTTACTAACAATTGCTGTCCTCCGGCAAAACATGAGGGCTGTTGCTTTTTAGATCAAACATGAGTGAGCGCGTACGCGTCAGTGAATGAGGAGTTATTTCCATAAATATAATGATCCTGCCGAATTGTGTGAAAACTTATTATGTCTGTTCCGTCTGTATCAACTCAGTGAGCTTTTATGAGGTTTTACACATGCGCAGTAAGGTGAATTTAACTTTTTCCGAAGTTTCAGTGTGGAAGAGAAACTTTTGGAAAACGCTAATGTGGACGGTTGTGAGCAGATGTAGCCTAACCCAACTACTGGGCCAAAACAACGCTGGGTTTGTCCATATTTCACCCAGTGCTAAGTTGTTTTTAACCCAGCATTTTTTAGAGTGAACGTTTCAGTCATGTAATTTAGAAGTGGGGTTAGCACCGCTTTTTACCCGGGGTTATGTAACCCTGCTCTGGAGACCATTTTGTGAAGAAACGTGAAGAAAGTTAGCCCAGGATTCCGTTTACCCGGGGTTTAGAATGACCCAGGGTTAACTATTTCAAAGTGTGAAAAGTTTGAATTCGGATATAATAGCTACTCGTTTCATGTAGACTACATCTGTTTGTTACTATGCTTAGAAGGTATCCTTATTCGGACCTGAGGCAGGTATAGCGAATGATGACCGAGTACAATACAGATGTTGTCCTAGTGTCACTTATTTAGCACAAACAGCATTAATTCACAAATTTGATCCATGTCTTTGAATCGTTTCAAACTGGCCATTTCAATTAATCGATTCAGAACTCTGATTCAACTATTTAATTGTGTCATGACCCAAAGTGGAAGTATTGGCATTTTGTTTAAAACAGCAATAATATAATAAAAGTAACATTAGTATATTTTAGCTGTACAAATCTTTTTCAAGATTTTAGCTGTAATTGGCTGGTAAGTGGTTGCTGTTTTCTAATGGCAAATATGAAGTTATATTTCAATATGAATCAAGCTTTTTCGATTAAGATGTTAATTGCGATATTTATTTATTTAATATATTTAATATATAACAATAAAACATTAAAGTGTATGTGTGTGAGTGTGTATTGGTGTATTCATACATTATATTTCATATATTTATATAATATAATATCTAAATGATTTAGATAGATAGATAGATAGATAGATAGATAGATAGATAGATAGATAGATAGATAGATAGATAGATAGATAGATAGATAGATAGATAGATGCGAACAATTCTATAAAGAAAATGTTGGAAGGTCTAAATATCACCTGGATTTCCTAAATCTGACCTTTGCCCCCACAACAACTATTAAACAGTAAAACCACCAGTTCTGGTGGTCTCTCTGTAGGATCTACAGAGCCTCAGTGGCCTGAAATGGTTTGTCCATACGTTGTGCTGTATCTGCAGCTGGGACAGGTGCCACTCCAGCTCTCCTTAAACAGACACTCTCTGTTTCGTGTTGCACAGCAGACCCCCCTCTTCTCTCAACAGTTGCCGTGGTCACATTGAGTGCAGCGGTTCACTTCCATGTCACAAACCCACAATTCACTAGGGCTTCTGTTGCTTCATCAGCAACACATGGAGTTCAACTGTTCCCCTGACCACAGTCCAAATAAAATCACTTCTTGACATGCTTGCCTACAGTTTTTTTAAAGTTCAAAATTCTGCCGTCATTTACTCACCCTCATATTATTCCGAATGTCTTTCCTTTAACATTTTTTTGCTTCAGGCATTAATAAATGTGCTTATGGAGTGCAACACCATGTGGGCTCGCCATAAAATCACTTTGTGTCACCATTTTGTCGAAACATTTCTACATGCTTTACTCAAGTACATGTTTACATTCCATTCTCTCCTCAACTTGCCTTGACAATGTCTTTGCACTCTCTTTCTCTCATCTCCTACCCCCCTTCTCCTTCGTTTTGGACGTACCCAGGCAGATTACCTGCAAATGCATGACTGGGGGCCAAGGGTGCCCTCTGTCAGCAGAGGCACAAAGCCAGGAGACTCCTTTATTCTCACATATTAGAGGAAAGAGCCTATGTTGAAAACTGCGGGCCGGTTAAAGCTGTAAGTGATGTGCCCTGATCTTCCCTGATTCATTAGATGTGTTGAATGCACTGTTGTTTCAGCATGTTAGGTCCTATTAGCTGGGTGTTAGCACTCAACATTTCCTTGTCCTTAAGCTATTTGGGTAGAAATAGAAACCTTGTCAGGTTACACAGTCTAAAACCCCCATTGTTTGAGAGCTGTCATATCAGAAATGGAGAGTTATTGCATGCTGTAATTCTATCTGTGAACAGGTGTGAAAGCGCTAAACTTGATGCGTGAACAATGAATTTGAGTTGAATTAGAAGCAATTTGTATCTTTTATTGCCATATTCTCAAAGCAATGCCATTTATGTTTCTAGAATTTATAACAAAATATATTTAAAAAAATTATTTTATAAACAAAATATAATTATTATTGATTTCAAATTATACATTTAAAAAGTTTGTTTTTAGATTATTTTACCATTTTATTTTATTTCCTACTTATTAAAACTCTTTTTTTCGCGCTATATTTTCTGTTGATTGTATGAAAAAATATTCAGTGTTTGACTTCAATATGTTTGCGGTGTTGCTGTAATTTAATGGCTTTCTGAGAAATATGATGTAACAACGTTCGTAGGTCGGGAAGAAGGAGGCGGGAACCGGCGAACACTTAAACAAAATTTTAATAATAAAATAAACACAAAACAGCACGACAGCCCCTCGCGGACGACTGTCGCGCACAAACAGAACCAAAACACAAAATAAAATCCAGGCCTGGTCCTCTCTCGTCCAACACTGTCGTCACTCCTCATTTTATCCTTCCGGAGCTCCTCCGTGTGACTCGAGACCGGTGAGTGGTGCAGGTGTCGCTCATTATCAATTACTCCACCGGCCTCGCTCTGTTCCCATGGCTCTCGGCCCCGCCCCCACTCGTCACATATGAAATTGTATTTTTATTAAAATAAAGGCTATTTTTTAAGATATGTTTGTATAATTGTCATCATAATTTTGATGCTATTGCATGTGCTATTTCATTGCGGTATTTTTTAACAATGTCAACTTTATGTGGACAATTATTTAACAATGTCATTTGTATTGACAGGATGGACAGACATCCTCTACTAACACTTTCTTCCAAGGATTTCCTCCGTGGTTATGTTTATACAGGAGCCAACATAACAGTTGTGGTACACAGATGATCTCTTTTGACAAGCCATTCATTTTTAAAGTTCATGAAAGTGTTTTGAAAGTTTTGAAAACCATTTGTCTCATTGTTTGGGCCCTTAGAAAATATATGGGAATGTCTAGTACAAGAATGTACAAATCCTGGGAAAATCCAACTACAGTAAATACAGAAGCTACAACTGTGAGGATCACTTTACACCTCAGATACTGCTATCAGTGTTTGTTGAGAAATAACCGGAATATTTCACCTCCAGCACTCTGGACAGCGCTAGTTTAGCTTAATATGTGAAAGATTCCATGAAGTGGGTTATACGTGAGTAATGTGACAGAATACCAAACATTCCTGTGAAATTCCCAGTAAACTCATGATGAGCTTTAGCCACCACTTCAGCTGCTCTTCTGAAGTGTATTGGTTACTACAGCAGCAGCATCATTGTCTCAGACTGACCAGTGTATCAGTGTTTTCTCAGTTGCAACATATTGTTGATTTTAAGGGTCCTAATGACAGAAAAATGGCCCTTGACCCCAGTACCAGTTGCGTGAAAACTATTTGACCTTTGACCTGGAAATCTAAAGAGCCCAGGGCCACTGGGCACAGAAAACAATGGCACTTTAAATAGACAGATTGCAGCACACTTATTTAGCAATAATTCATCTGTTTAGTTTGAACAAGCAGTCATATTAGCAGGCCTGATACACATTTACTATTCAGCTGAAAGTTGTTGTTTATCAGCTTTTTGAATTTTGATTCTGTGAGACAGAAGAGACCAGAAAATGTAATTATTTAGATATACAGTAGTCAACATTTGAAGTGGATCAAAAAAGTGCATCAAAGTTGTCCTGACAAGAACGCATTTTGGTTTTAGGTTTTAGGGCAACTTTGATGAAAGGTTTTGATCCACTTCAAACGTTGACTACTGTATATTGCAGTCACTGTCTCAGAAGATGTAGTCTATACTGTGTTATTAAATATGCACTGAAATCTAAAATAAAAACAAAAATATACTTTTATTTGTAAAACCAGAACAGTTTGATGGTTAAAGGGACATTATGCTACCTGTTCAAGATCTCAGTTAGGATGCCCGCATGAAACTGGAAGACGTCTAAAACGTCTGAAGTAAATTGACTAGATTAAATTGAGTAAATTGACTAAATTTCGACCCATTTTTTTGGAACATTTTCGCTGCTTTATGGAATGACCTGCTAGAAACCAGCTACCATATTTCAAAACACACCTACCAGCTTATATTGTTGTGCAAATGTTATGTTCGAGGATTTTTCAACACATACATATTTATTTTACTGCAAGCAAGAACCTGCATCGAGCGCACAAGGACTTGTGGGAACCCTTTGAGTGATGATTCAAATGAATCGACTCACTGAACCATTCATCATTTGATGAACCGAATCTTTAAAGTGAATCAGACTCGTGCGTAAAGACAGAGTACAGAACATAAAAGCTGCTCAGTGCGCTTCAGCCGGACTCGACGCGGAGCTTCATTTTCTGTCTGTGCACGCTGAGCCAGCGCTTTATTTCAAATGAAGCGTCTTCTCATTCCGCTAATAAGTTTCTATACGTGATATAAAAGCTGTCTTCGCCATGAGCTGCTTGGATGTCATGTATCAAGTTTATGGTCCACCTCAACCTTATTTTGCCGCAGCATACACACCATATCACCATCAGGTATGTTCATGTGTAAGTTAACTTTATTATGCTTCTGTTGTGTGAGAAGAAAGAAATGCATTTTAATTTTATTTTACAGCAGTTCTGTTTGTTTAGATTTTGTTTGAATCCTTGCGCGCAACTTTCTTTGACTTGTTGCGCCTGCAATCTTGACCAAATAGTTGTACAGTTTTAAAATAAGTCGCATAGTTAGATGTTAATGGAAAACAACCTGACTGTATAGGCTAAATGGCGGTTTAAGTGTTGTTTAAAATAATTAAAAGCATGCATTTATATATGGCATGCATGTCATAAATATAGCCTACTTGTATGCTTTCAATCATTTTAAATGTACACACACTGTATATTGACTGTGTTGGTTATTATGTTATATGATCAGTATGTATGGCATATTAACTTGATTATTAACTATTAAGCAAAATGTGCTTTTAATCTTTTTGGAATTGTTATTTGAGTCGTATTTTTCTTGTGCTGTTTCATAAGCTTGAAAACAGATTTTCTGTATTTTATAGATTTCATGTTGTTAACCTGAATAAATATTTAGTGTAGAAATACTGGCATGTGTAATGCTTTATGGAGAGTATATTTCTATGTGCTAGTGTTTTAAAAAAAGTTTTGAAACATTATATGAACACAAATTGTGCAACAGCAAACACACGACTGTACTGATTCCATATATCTGTCTGTGTATAAATAGAATGTATGTGAGTGTAATTCTGTATCATGTAAATAATATCAGAGTTGAATGCAAATTGATTTTTGCCCATTTTTTTTAACATGCTTTCAGAAACTGGCATTTTACTCGAAAATGCAAGAATCCCCAGAAACAGTGAGCGGAAGCAGCTCTTCTTTTTCGAACCTCTCCGGGCCACCTATAAAAGAGGAGGACTGCGCCCGGGAGAAAGATCACCCGCCAGAGGCTGAGTACATCAGCTCCAGATGTGTGCTATTCACGTATTTCCAAGGGGACATCAGTTCGGTGGTGGATGAACATTTTAGTCGGGCTTTGAGTCAGTCCGGTAGTTACGCACCTGGATCCACCAACAGCAAGACCGCAAGAGGTACATCGTCCTGGAGAGGTGGGAATCTGATGCATAATTCATATATGTTTTATTTGCATCCTTTATGACTACACAGCTTTTAGTCATGGGAATGATTTTACTTTTCGTGTTGTTGTTTTTTTTTGGCATTGTGTCAAGATAGAGAGATCGATAGATTGTAAAAGCTAATTTAAATCAAATTAAGATATACAGATAATTAGGACATCATTTTTACATTTAATTAAATATCTCTTTTCCTTGCATCCTTTAAGATTGCACAGCTGTTAGTCATGACAATGGAAACAAATTTCCTTTGTTTGCATTGTTTCAAGATCAATAGATGGATTTTTTAAATCTAATGCTAATTAATTAAAAAATATTAAAATATTATATATTAAATAGTATATTTTAACATGTATTAAATAATTTTAGGACATAATTTATACAATCAGTTTTGATTGTACAGATATTAGTCATGACAATGGTACCAATTTTATTAATATTATTATTTTGTAAGATCAATAGATAGATAAAAAAAGTAAAGCAAATAATAATTAGGACATCATTTTAACAATCAGTTATGATTTCACATTAGTTATCACAACAAGCACAGAAACAGCTTGAAAGATCAAAGACAATTTTTTATATAACTCCGACTGGATTCGTCTGAAAGAAGAAAGTCATATACACCTAGGATGCCTCGGGGGTGAGTCATTTATGGGCTAATTTTCATTTTTGGGTGAACTAACCCTTTAATTTGCAAATTCGATCCATTTCTTGAATCGCTTCAAACTGACCATGACCATGACCTCTAATTCACCGATCCGAATGTGTCATGACTCAAAACGGAAGTAGCCTACTGGCATTTTGATTCAAACTAATATATTTTCATTACATTTCATATATTCTATTCATAATATAATATAATATAATATAATATAAATGTGACCTTGGACCATAAAAGTGTCAATTTTTCGAAATTGAGATTTATACACCAGCTGAAAGCTGAATAAATAAGCTTTCCATTGATGTATGGTTTGTTATGATAGCACAATATTTGGCCGAGATACAACTATTTGAAAATCTGGAATCTGAGTGTGCAAAAAATCTAAATATTGAGAAAATCTCCTTTAAAGTTGTCCAAATGAAGTCCTTAGCAATGCATATTACGAAACAAATTTTTTTTTGATATATTTACGGTAGGAAATTTGCAAAATATCTTCATGGAACATGATCTTTACTTAATATCCAAATGATTTTTGGCATAGAAGAAAAATCAATATTTTTGACCCATACAATGTATTTTTGGCTATTGCTACAAATATACCCCAGCGACTTAAGACTGGTTTTGTGCTCCAGGGTCACAAATGGTTTAGATGTAATATTTAAACAAACAATGCTATTAAGAACATGTTGGAAGGTCTTAATATCAACTGGATTTCCAAAATCTGACCTTTGCCCCCACAACAACTATTAAACAGTAAAACCACCAGTTCTGGTGGTCTCTCTGTAGGATCTACAGAGCCTCAGTGGCCTGAAATGGTTTGTCCATACGTTGTGCTGTATCTGCAGCTGGGACAGGTGCCACTCCAGCTCTCCTTAAACAGACACTCTCTGTTTCGTGTTGCACAGCAGACCCCCCTCTTCTCTCAACAGTTGCCGTGGTCACATTGAGTGCAGCGGTTCACTTCCATGTCACAAACCCACAATTCACTAGGGCTTCTGTTGCTTCATCAGCAACACATGGAGTTCAACTGTTCCCCTGACCACAGTCCAAATAAAATCACTTCTTGACATGCTTGCCTACAGTTTTTTTAAAGTTCAAAATTCTGCCGTCATTTACTCACCCTCATATTATTCCGAATGTCTTTCCTTTAACATTTTTTTGCTTCAGGCATTAATAAATGTGCTTATGGAGTGCAACACCATGTGGGCTCGCCATAAAATCACTTTGTGTCACCATTTTGTCGAAACATTTCTACATGCTTTACTCAAGTACATGTTTACATTCCATTCTCTCCTCAACTTGCCTTGACAATGTCTTTGCACTCTCTTTCTCTCATCTCCTACCCCCCTTCTCCTTCGTTTTGGACGTACCCAGGCAGATTACCTGCAAATGCATGACTGGGGGCCAAGGGTGCCCTCTGTCAGCAGAGGCACAAAGCCAGGAGACTCCTTTATTCTCACATATTAGAGGAAAGAGCCTATGTTGAAAACTGCGGGCCGGTTAAAGCTGTAAGTGATGTGCCCTGATCTTCCCTGATTCATTAGATGTGTTGAATGCACTGTTGTTTCAGCATGTTAGGTCCTATTAGCTGGGTGTTAGCACTCAACATTTCCTTGTCCTTAAGCTATTTGGGTAGAAATAGAAACCTTGTCAGGTTACACAGTCTAAAACCCCCATTGTTTGAGAGCTGTCATATCAGAAATGGAGAGTTATTGCATGCTGTAATTCTATCTGTGAACAGGTGTGAAAGCGCTAAACTTGATGCGTGAACAATGAATTTGAGTTGAATTAGAAGCAATTTGTATCTTTTATTGCCATATTCTCAAAGCAATGCCATTTATGTTTCTAGAATTTATAACAAAATATATTTAAAAAAATTATTTTATAAACAAAATATAATTATTATTGATTTCAAATTATACATTTAAAAAGTTTGTTTTTAGATTATTTTACCATTTTATTTTATTTCCTACTTATTAAAACTCTTTTTTTCGCGCTATATTTTCTGTTGATTGTATGAAAAAATATTCAGTGTTTGACTTCAATATGTTTGCGGTGTTGCTGTAATTTAATGGCTTTCTGAGAAATATGATGTAACAACGTTCGTAGGTCGGGAAGAAGGAGGCGGGAACCGGCGAACACTTAAACAAAATTTTAATAATAAAATAAACACAAAACAGCACGACAGCCCCTCGCGGACGACTGTCGCGCACAAACAGAACCAAAACACAAAATAAAATCCAGGCCTGGTCCTCTCTCGTCCAACACTGTCGTCACTCCTCATTTTATCCTTCCGGAGCTCCTCCGTGTGACTCGAGACCGGTGAGTGGTGCAGGTGTCGCTCATTATCAATTACTCCACCGGCCTCGCTCTGTTCCCATGGCTCTCGGCCCCGCCCCCACTCGTCACATATGAAATTGTATTTTTATTAAAATAAAGGCTATTTTTTAAGATATGTTTGTATAATTGTCATCATAATTTTGATGCTATTGCATGTGCTATTTCATTGCGGTATTTTTTAACAATGTCAACTTTATGTGGACAATTATTTAACAATGTCATTTGTATTGACAGGATGGACAGACATCCTCTACTAACACTTTCTTCCAAGGATTTCCTCCGTGGTTATGTTTATACAGGAGCCAACATAACAGTTGTGGTACACAGATGATCTCTTTTGACAAGCCATTCATTTTTAAAGTTCATGAAAGTGTTTTGAAAGTTTTGAAAACCATTTGTCTCATTGTTTGGGCCCTTAGAAAATATATGGGAATGTCTAGTACAAGAATGTACAAATCCTGGGAAAATCCAACTACAGTAAATACAGAAGCTACAACTGTGAGGATCACTTTACACCTCAGATACTGCTATCAGTGTTTGTTGAGAAATAACCGGAATATTTCACCTCCAGCACTCTGGACAGCGCTAGTTTAGCTTAATATGTGAAAGATTCCATGAAGTGGGTTATACGTGAGTAATGTGACAGAATACCAAACATTCCTGTGAAATTCCCAGTAAACTCATGATGAGCTTTAGCCACCACTTCAGCTGCTCTTCTGAAGTGTATTGGTTACTACAGCAGCAGCATCATTGTCTCAGACTGACCAGTGTATCAGTGTTTTCTCAGTTGCAACATATTGTTGATTTTAAGGGTCCTAATGACAGAAAAATGGCCCTTGACCCCAGTACCAGTTGCGTGAAAACTATTTGACCTTTGACCTGGAAATCTAAAGAGCCCAGGGCCACTGGGCACAGAAAACAATGGCACTTTAAATAGACAGATTGCAGCACACTTATTTAGCAATAATTCATCTGTTTAGTTTGAACAAGCAGTCATATTAGCAGGCCTGATACACATTTACTATTCAGCTGAAAGTTGTTGTTTATCAGCTTTTTGAATTTTGATTCTGTGAGACAGAAGAGACCAGAAAATGTAATTATTTAGATATACAGTAGTCAACATTTGAAGTGGATCAAAAAAGTGCATCAAAGTTGTCCTGACAAGAACGCATTTTGGTTTTAGGTTTTAGGGCAACTTTGATGAAAGGTTTTGATCCACTTCAAACGTTGACTACTGTATATTGCAGTCACTGTCTCAGAAGATGTAGTCTATACTGTGTTATTAAATATGCACTGAAATCTAAAATAAAAACAAAAATATACTTTTATTTGTAAAACCAGAACAGTTTGATGGTTAAAGGGACATTATGCTACCTGTTCAAGATCTCAGTTAGGATGCCCGCATGAAACTGGAAGACGTCTAAAACGTCTGAAGTAAATTGACTAGATTAAATTGAGTAAATTGACTAAATTTCGACCCATTTTTTTGGAACATTTTCGCTGCTTTATGGAATGACCTGCTAGAAACCAGCTACCATATTTCAAAACACACCTACCAGCTTATATTGTTGTGCAAATGTTATGTTCGAGGATTTTTCAACACATACATATTTATTTTACTGCAAGCAAGAACCTGCATCGAGCGCACAAGGACTTGTGGGAACCCTTTGAGTGATGATTCAAATGAATCGACTCACTGAACCATTCATCATTTGATGAACCGAATCTTTAAAGTGAATCAGACTCGTGCGTAAAGACAGAGTACAGAACATAAAAGCTGCTCAGTGCGCTTCAGCCGGACTCGACGCGGAGCTTCATTTTCTGTCTGTGCACGCTGAGCCAGCGCTTTATTTCAAATGAAGCGTCTTCTCATTCCGCTAATAAGTTTCTATACGTGATATAAAAGCTGTCTTCGCCATGAGCTGCTTGGATGTCATGTATCAAGTTTATGGTCCACCTCAACCTTATTTTGCCGCAGCATACACACCATATCACCATCAGGTATGTTCATGTGTAAGTTAACTTTATTATGCTTCTGTTGTGTGAGAAGAAAGAAATGCATTTTAATTTTATTTTACAGCAGTTCTGTTTGTTTAGATTTTGTTTGAATCCTTGCGCGCAACTTTCTTTGACTTGTTGCGCCTGCAATCTTGACCAAATAGTTGTACAGTTTTAAAATAAGTCGCATAGTTAGATGTTAATGGAAAACAACCTGACTGTATAGGCTAAATGGCGGTTTAAGTGTTGTTTAAAATAATTAAAAGCATGCATTTATATATGGCATGCATGTCATAAATATAGCCTACTTGTATGCTTTCAATCATTTTAAATGTACACACACTGTATATTGACTGTGTTGGTTATTATGTTATATGATCAGTATGTATGGCATATTAACTTGATTATTAACTATTAAGCAAAATGTGCTTTTAATCTTTTTGGAATTGTTATTTGAGTCGTATTTTTCTTGTGCTGTTTCATAAGCTTGAAAACAGATTTTCTGTATTTTATAGATTTCATGTTGTTAACCTGAATAAATATTTAGTGTAGAAATACTGGCATGTGTAATGCTTTATGGAGAGTATATTTCTATGTGCTAGTGTTTTTAAAAAAGTTTTGAAACATTATATGAACACAAATTGTGCAACAGCAAACACACGACTGTACTGATTCCATATATCTGTCTGTGTATAAATAGAATGTATGTGAGTGTAATTCTGTATCATGTAAATAATATCAGAGTTGAATGCAAATTGATTTTTGCCCATTTTTTTTAACATGCTTTCAGAAACTGGCATTTTACTCGAAAATGCAAGAATCCCCAGAAACAGTGAGCGGAAGCAGCTCTTCTTTTTCGAACCTCTCCGGGCCACCTATAAAAGAGGAGGACTGCGCCCGGGAGAAAGATCACCCGCCAGAGGCTGAGTACATCAGCTCCAGATGTGTGCTATTCACGTATTTCCAAGGGGACATCAGTTCGGTGGTGGATGAACATTTTAGTCGGGCTTTGAGTCAGTCCAATAGTTACGCACCTGGATCCACCAACAGCAAGACCGCAAGAGGTACATCGTCCTGGAGAGGTGGGAATCTGATGCATAATTCATATATGTTTTATTTGCATCCTTTATGACTACACAGCTTTTAGTCATGGGAATGATTTTACTTTTCGTGTTGTTGTTTTTTTTTGGCATTGTGTCAAGATAGAGAGATCGATAGATTGTAAAAGCTAATTTAAATCAAATTAAGATATACAGATAATTAGGACATCATTTTTACATTTAATTAAATATCTCTTTTCCTTGCATCCTTTAAGATTGCACAGCTGTTAGTCATGACAATGGAAACAAATTTCCTTTGTTTGCATTGTTTCAAGATCAATAGATGGATTTTTTAAATCTAATGCTAATTAATTAAAAAATATTAAAATATTATATATTAAATAGTATATTTTAACATGTATTAAATAATTTTAGGACATAATTTATACAATCAGTTTTGATTGTACAGATATTAGTCATGACAATGGTACCAATTTTATTAATATTATTATTTTGTAAGATCAATAGATAGATAAAAAAAGTAAAGCAAATAATAATTAGGACATCATTTTAACAATCAGTTATGATTTCACATTAGTTATCACAACAAGCACAGTTTTATTTTTGGATTGCTTCAGTATCAAAAGGTAGAGTTTTAAAAGCTTATGCATATTAGTTAACTTTCAGATAAATAGGACATAATTTTTTTACAATCAATTATGATTGCATAGCTATTAATAATTGCAACAGGCACTATTTTATTTTATTTTTAGTTTCAGTATCAATAGATAGATATTTTTTTAAAGCTAATGCAAATTAAATCAAGATATAAAGATATCATTTTTACAATCAATTTGTTGCATTAATGTTTTGTGAATCCAAATATGTGGGCATTTAATTTTAATCTCAAACAAAATATTTAAAGGTTCATAATGTTGTATATTTGAATTATCACATGCTTTTATGCGCATTAACATGCAGAACATCTAAATGTTTCCCTCCCCAGACGATTCCTTCCCTATGAGCCAGAGAAGCTTCCCTCCATCTTTCTGGAACAGTGCATATCAGCCTTCGGTCACAGCAACTCTCAGCAGTGCCCTGGGTTCCTCCCACACAGATCTTCCCTTCCCAGCAGACCCGTACTCCACCGCATCTCTACACAGCCACCTTCACCAAGCCACCCCAGAGTCCTGGCACCCCTCTCACCACCATCACCCTTACTCGCTCAGTGGAGCCATCGGCACCCAGGGGTCCGCTTACCCCCGGCCCTCCATGCACGACATGTACGGAACGCACTTTGACCCCCGTTACAGCTCTCTGCTCGTGCCCTCGGTGCGGCCGCATAGACTTCCTCCAGCCACTGTTCCCGCACCTGGAGCCTCACCATGCGATATCAGCAAGAGTGAGCCGGGCAGCTCGGCGTGGACCGGAGCTTTCACAGCGCCGAGCTCTGATATGAGTCTGAACATGGATACAGGTGTGAACGGCATGCAGTCTACATAAGCAGTAGTGTTTATTCACATGAGCTACATTTCAAAAATTTATGGATGTCACTGCATTTGAAAACAAAATATCAAACCAAAAGGCATTTAGTCTAACGAATAGAACACTTTGCAAGAAAAACATGTCACTAAAAACAAAGTTTTGGCTTTAGATAATAAAATTAAGTCATTTTGTGATACTTTCTGGTTGCCAGATGTTAGTAGAAATTAGATAAAAAATACAGTAAAAACTGTTAAATATTATTATATTTACATATAAATGATTTATACATTTATATTTAAATGTTTTCTATTTAAATATAATGTCAAATGTAATGTATTTCTTTGATTTCTCAGCATCATTACGCTAGTCTTCAGTGTCACTTGATCCGTCAGAAATCAATATGCTGATTTGCTGCTCAAGAAACATTTATTAATATCAATGTTGGAAACAATTCTGCTTAATTTTTATGGATACTGTGATACATTTTTGCAGGATTATTTGCTGAAAAGAAAGCATTTATTTAAAAATTAGGATTCTTTTGTTATATTATAAATGTCTTTACAATCAATTTCATGCATCCTCACTGACTTCGTACTAAAAAAATCGTACTAACCCCAAACTTTTGAACATAGTGTAGTTAATGTGATGAACTAAACCTGGGGTTACTTTGTCAGGACGCCTGTGTGAATTTTAAGAGAACTGACATCATACATCTACTAAAATCACATTGACATCAGTTCAAATAACTGTGAAGAAAACTGAAGTTATTTCAGAGAAAAGCTTCAGTATGATTTGTCTGCAAATGCCACTCAGTTTAATATTTTGTTATATAATTAAAGCGTCTAAATACATTTTAGGGCCACCGTAGGTTAAAAACAGTGCATCAAAAAAGTCAGCTCAAAAACTTCAAACATATAATGTAAAAATAATAGCGTCTAAGAGCTTCTTGAAGCACATATTCTGAGTTTTGAATCTAGATATCTTCAAGGTTCTTGACTTTGACCTTTGCTCTGCTGATATATTCGTTCCTCATTTTCACTCTCACTCTTCAATGCTTTCCTTGCCTGAAGTCTCCTCACTTCTCTATATTTGCTGCTTGTTTTCCCTCTCCTCATTTCTTTATCCTTTTCTTCCTTTTCCTTCTTCCTCTCAGGTCTACAGAGCCAGGATAAGAGCAAGGACTTGTACTGGTTTTAGTGCCCTGCGGCCGCTTCTTTCTCCGCTGGCTTGTCTTTCTCTGGCTTTTCTGTAACAGATTCTCGTCTCACTTGCAGCTCGGCGCTACACCCTCTGCAGCGGGACCATCCTAAGCTGAACCCTTCGGATGAATACAAAACTCTCTCAATGGAGAAAAGACTGTAAAGAGGAGCAAACATGCTGTAGTCCCCCCCCCGACCCTCAGCAAAACGGACCCAAAATGAGATGTTAAAAAAGGACAAATGTTACTTCATGGGGACAAACTTGCAGAAAAGACGGACCTTTCTGAGAGTTTCTGATGCGAGAGCAGCATTCCCTACCATGACAGAGAGCGGCTATTTGAAGCCACTTGACTCTGTCTATATTGCTTTCTGCACCTGTCACCAACAACTGTTGTGGAACTTAGCAGACGCACACACAACGGCGCTGTGCCGTTTGACCGAGCAAGCGCCCCGGATTTCATTAAACAGGCGTTTTGTTGTATCTAGACACACGGCGAAAGGGAACAACTGGTTTGGCTTTTCATTTGTTTCAGAGGAGTGGTGTGGGTTTAACTGGAAGTAGATACAAACACCATTACGCTGTGCTGTATATACTTTATGTGTCCTAGTGTATCCAGTGCTACACGTAGCAAACAGCATGACTCTTTCATTTGTACTTTTTTAACAACCACTTTCAGTCACCGTCAGCCTATAGGGTGACGTCTCACCACGGTGTATTTGAATGTATGACATGTAATATATTACCTTTGAAAGTATTTTTCCAGTGCATTGAGGAGAATGAGGTGTTGTCTGTTTTTATCAGTTGTCTATCTTCATCCTACGAAACAAAAATGGAAATAAAACCAGGCGATACACACTTTTTGCTGCTCTTAAGTGTTTTAGAGAAAGCTCGTTAAATTGCAAACTTGTGTATAGAGGCATCTTTTCATACCAGGCACATCTTGAAATGTATTTCTGCTCGCTTTTGCTTTGGGCTCTTAAGAAGGAAACAAAAGACTATTATGAATTTGCTGCAACCTTCGAAACCTCAAAAGCGAGAGCATCAGAGATGAAATTATTTCAATATAAATTTTTCTGCATTAATATGTTCGCAACATGAGTAGGAATGTAACCATGGGCTACTTTTAATCTGCGTGATGTTTTGTTCACTCGGCCATAGAGTCAGGCAATGAAAAGGAAATGGGAAGCGAGAAAGAAAGCGGGAGAGTGAATGTTATCACGCTGCCATTTGATCCTTTTCTTTCTGGTTGTGGTTGCAGTGAATACCGGACAGCTGTAGATTAATATTGGCTTATGACAACAGCAATGATGGACAAGAGATGTGTGGCCAGGGGTTTCTCTTGCTTAAGTGGGTAAAACAAAGGCCTCTTTTTTGAAACCAGCACTGAGGAGCGTCCTAAATTGCTGGGGGTGCATGAAAAACTCAAGGAGTTCATATGGCAGATTAAGTCACATTTCACAATGTAGAACTGGTTACTAAGCCAACTTGTTTTTGTGACAGCAAAGTACAGTATAAGTATTTTATAAATTATGACATTGAAACTCTGGTCACTCTGGTTGTATTTGTAGCCTGTTTGTGTCCCTTGAGTTCAAAGTTGAGTTAATTATATTTGTCATATGTACTACAGTATTCAGTACTGTTGACAGTGAAATTGACAAGCTCACTAGGCCATATGAACAAAAATTAAATCAATTATATAGCCTAGAAAAAAATGTATAATATTGGATATAGAAAAATTACAAGTGTAGAGGAGACCAGGGCTGTCACTGTTTATTTTGAAATGTCAGTTTCTGTATTCTGAATCAACATTACTTTATGTAGGTCTATAGATCTTGACCTTTAGTGGGGCATGTTGTCACTCTGCCGGTTATAGGCTTTTAATACTGTTCAGTTGCTTTGTCACAATCTGTATTGTTAAAAGCGCTATATAAATAAAGTAAAAAAAAAAAAAAAAAAAAACAATTCATGAAACAATTGAAATCTACACGATTATTCTGAAGAACAGTGTGTGTGTGTCAGTGTGGTTTTCAGTACGGTGGGCAAAAATAAGAGTAGGCCTACAGAATTCGCTAAATCTTCTAATTTAAAACAGATGTTTTAAACCAACATTAAAAAAATAAATGTATAACTGGTCTTTTGACTTAAAACACTGACCACAACACAAGCAAAAAAAAAGTAGGTAAGAATGATTAGCTTAATTAATAGCAACTCGCGTGTACTTATTTGGAGTGGTGTCGAGGAATCCGCGGCCAGTTGTCACTTTGCCCACCGTCTGTGGAAGGGACCGTCATTAGCCATGTGAAAGGTTAGCTCCCCACACTTGAAAAAATGGATCAACAGGCCGCTGGCATTTTAATCAGCTCGAGTCTAATGTTCTCTATCAATCAAGTAGTTAAGTTAAATGACCATGTGATAACTCTTATGGTCTGCCTGGTAAAATTATTATTGGTTGGGCTCTGGTTTTTAACACATTTACAATGTTTTACAACCCTGAGATGTGCACAAAAAGCCTACAAGCACTACTACTAGTACTAACAATATCTTCCTTCATATTTCTTCCTTCACATAGCATTTTTATTTAGGCTATCATTTAAAAGTGCATTAATAAAATATTAAATTGACAAATGATATTATATAAAACACATTTAATATATAAACGTATATATCATAATGTAGGCTACACAAAAATCACATGTATTTTATTTTTACACACATTTATACTATAATATACAAATATATTTGAATTTATAAAGGAATATAGGCCTACCATAATCCCATGTCATATATTGAATGTATATAAATAAATGTAATATTTTATATAATTGTTTTTACACACACACACTTTATACAATTTTTTATTATAAAATATTTTCATTTATAAACAGATAGGCTATACAATAATTACATATGCCATATGTAAAATGCATACATGAATGTACTATTTTAATTTAAACATAAATATAGGCCTACCATAATCACATATCATATATAAAATATATATAAATAAATGTAATATTTTATATAACTGTAAGTGTTACACACACTTTATATAATTTATAAATCTAATCATATAAATATAAAAAATATAATATTTTAATTTATAAACAAATAGGCTATACAATAATATACTATTTTATATTTTTAATGTTTTATTATATAAACTAATACATATAAATACTATATAAATTTTGTATAAGCATAAAATGTATATGAATAAATATAATACTTTAATATTACCATATTAAATAATATTACAAACACACACACTCAATTTGACACAAAATGTAAATATGAGATTTCTGCCAGCTGTTTATATATAAACACTTACCTATAGTAATTGTACACAAAAAGGTGGGGCATAGAGGAGAAACAATAATGTACAGTATGTGGAAAATAATGTGTTTTTTAACCTTAAACCGCATAAACATTTCATTACACCAAATACACAAAATAATGTTCTTTTTAGCAACATCATATGACCCCTTTAATTATCAAAAGGTACGCTACTTCTTTTCTTTGGAAAAATCCACTTGGCTGGAACATCTGAAGAGGCACATGCAGTCTGAATGAGCATGAAACTTCTGAATGCTACCGTGCTGTAGCTCTCCTTCTTTTGTCTGAATGAATGCACTCAACTACAAAGCATTACAGCTTCCAGATGTCATTTATTCTATAACAAGCGACCAGAGCTGTCATCAGAATTCTGCCAAACCTAATCTCAGTGTATCGCCTGTTGTAATCTAACCTCAATAGTCAAGATGCGAATGTAAACACGTGTTGGCCAAATCACAGAGGGAATTGTTTTTTTATTTAGCCTCTGTATAAACTCACACACTTTGTGCTGCACAAACACTGCGCCACAGCTCAGCTTACTGTTAATAAAAGAACTCAACCCTAATGCTAAATCATTCTTGGGAGACGAGTGAGTATGTTAAAAGATCTTTGTAGTTCTGCTAACATTGACCAACCTTTGGCTTCTACAGGCATAATTTACACACAACATATATATATATATATATATATATATATATATATATTTTTTTTTATGTTTGTGAGTCTTTTATGCTAACAAGTGATGCATTCATTTGATAAAAATACAGCAATATGTGAAATATTATTACACTTTTTTTATATATATATATTGTAATCTATTTTAAAATCGAATTTATTCTTGTAATGCAAAGCTAAATTTTCAGCATTATTAATCCAGTCTTCAGAAACCATTCTAATGCACATTTGCACCTCAAGAAACATTTCTTATTATCCCTGTTGAAAACAGTTATGTTGCGTATGTTGCAGTTATCTATCTATCTATCTATCTATCTATCTATCTATCTATCTATCTATCTATCTATCTATCTATCTATCTATCTATCTATCTATCTATCTATCTATCTATGTATAGTATCATGAGAAATGTCTTCACTGTCCCTTTGGATCAGTTTAATGCATTATTGTTTAATATAAGTGTTAAAAAATCTCTGATTCCAAACTTTTGAATGATGTGCTTATATATCAGTTACAAGATATACAATGACAAATGATATAAGACCTCTTGATATGCCATATGTAAATACATTTGAACATAAATTAGATTTGAGAGCTTATACATTTTATCACACAAAGTTATAATATGGCTTCAGAAGACTTATAGTGCTTGATTCATACAGACTACTATTACGAGATTTTTATAGTGGTTTTTGTCTTTTTTAGAGCTTGACACTTTCAACATATAGTGAAACTTCCACATCATATGGGTTTGGAAAGACATGAGAATCAGAATCAGAATCAGAATCAGAATGAGCTTTATTGCCAGGTTTACACATACGAGGAATTTGTTTTCGTGACAGAAGCTTCCACAGTGTAACAGAATGACAGTGACAGAACAAAAAACACAGATAATAAAAATAGAACAAGTAAATAAGGAATAAAAATATATAAATTGACAATTGTGTGTGCAGGTATATTACAATAGACAGTTTTTTTTTTGTATGTACAGGTACTGTATACTATGTGCAAATTTGAGGTGTAGGCTGAGTATGAGTGTTAGATAAATAAGTGTATGAGTGAATAAATAGTGTGTGTTCCACAGTTATTGTCAAGTGTTCATGAGATGGATGGCCTGAGGGAAGAA